CTGCTGCTGCTGCTGCTGCTGCTGCTGCTGCTGCTGCTGCTGCTGCTGTTGCTGCTGCTGTTGCTGCTGCAGTTACAGAAAGAAGGAGCGATAGAAGTGAGTTGTTTGTGTTTAATATTTTGTGTATTTTGTGCATGCATGAGGTGTATATACAGCTCAGGGTGTATAGACCATGCATGCAGCAGCAGTTGCTGTTTGTTGCTTTCTGCAGCAGCAGCAGCAGCAGCAGCAGCAGCAGCAGCAGCACAAGTATGAATCTGTTCAATAGAAAAACAAAAACTTTCATTTATATTTTGTTTATTAACTCTGCTGCTGCTGATGATGTGTATACACCCTAAACCACCTAAACATAGATGCCGCAGCACCTCTGTACATACACCCCAGCAACCCAGCAGCAGCACAGACCCTGCATGCAGCCGCTGCTGCCCCCCTAAACCAAACAAACGAATTTGTCTATCGTATCTCTCTACGTATCTCTCTTCTTCTTTGCTCATCTTCTCTAGGGTTTAGGGTTTAGGGTTTAGGGTTTAGGGTTTAGGGGTTTGGGGTTTCTTTAGGTTTGTCTTTGTGCTGCTGTTTTGTTGCTGCTGCTGCTGCTGTTGTTGTTGTTGATGGTTTATGTTGTTGCTGCTGCTGCCGCTGCCCCTGTTCTGAATGAACTTCTGTGTGCTCTTCTTGCTGCTGCAGCTGCTGCTGCTGTTCCTGCTGCTGCTGCTGCTGCTGCTGCTGTTGCTGCTGCTGCTGTTGCTGCTGTTGCTGCTGCTGCAGGGGTGTGTGCCCCCCTGTCGGCGGTGCAGGGGGGTCGATTGAAGGGGAGAGTAGAGAGTGGTAGTAAAGAGAGAAAAAAAAAATAAAAATAAAAAAGAAAAAAAAAAAAGAAAAAGAAAAAGAAATTAAAAAAAAAGAATGTTTAGTTGGAATACAAACAAAAGACAAAACAACGGCTGCTGCTGCTGCTGCTGCTGCTGCTGCTGCAGCAGCAGATGCAGCAACAAGCAGCAGCAGAAAATGTTGCTGCGGCAGCAGCTGTGTGCTTGTGTGTGTGTGTGTGTGTTAATATATTTATATATATATCTATATATATATAAATATATAAATAATAAATAAATATATTAATTTTAATAAAATAAATAAAAAGAAAAAAACAAACGAAACACCACCTACCCCCCCCTGAGCTGGTGACTGCATGCGGCAACCACGCAGCCCCGGGGGGTCGATTTGTGTGTTTTTTTGCGTAAAAAAAAACAAAATAAAGATAAATTAAATAAAATAAATAAAAATAATTTAATATAATTTAATTTATTTTAATTTAACTTAAAAAATTTATAATAATTTCGACTTTCTGCTGCTGCAGCCAGCAGCAGGGCCCCGGCTGTACCGCGTCGCCAGCTTGCGGTGTCACTGCAGCTCAAGGATGCATGCAGCACCAAAAGAGAAAAAAATAAATAATTTTTATTTATTTATTTATTTTTATTAAAATATTTCATCTTAATTTCCATATTAATCTCTTATTTTTTTCTTTTTTGTTTCTGTTTTTTGTAGTTTTCTGTTGGTTTGGCTGTTCTGTGTTTGTTGTTTTTTTTTTTTTTTTTTTTTTTTTTTTTTTTTTTTTTTT